ATGCAGAAAAATGAAATGTTGTGTGAGATGTTTGCTAATGTGATAGGACGTTTATCAAAAATCAACTTTGAAAGTATACCAGAACTATCTTTCCTTGATGAAGTCCTTGCACAGACCGTAGACATGAAATCTTTTTCAATGGAGATGATGTGGACTCGTTTCAGCAAGGTTTGGATAAACGCAAATGTTACTGACAAGCTGATTGAATGTCTCGATGTACCTAAATACTTTTGTTCCTGGCTGTTGTTATATTGCCAAGAAGAAGTGTCAAAATATAATTTTAATGCTTCAGTTCAAGTTTCTTTCGTAGCCTCCGAAGCACGACTGAAGGAGCAAGAAAAAGAGACTGTCACATATATCTGTGGAGCAGTTTTGTCCAAGTTAATTAAAAAGGCCTATGACAATTTGCAGAAGCCACGAATAATTGAAAATGCAGAATTGGCACTCAAAAAGAGAATTGAAGCTTTAAATTGCTGCAAGAGTAGTCACTCTACTGGAGTTTACACTGGAAAACTGATAGAAACTCTTGACCGTGGAGGGCTTGTTTATCCGAAAGCTTCATTTGCTGACCTTTTTCACAGAGCAGAAAAGTTATTTCAAGATTCCGTTTCTGGTGGTGTTAAAAAAATTAATGTGGCAGCCATTGTATCCCAATTCTTCAGTCAGGAAGCAAATGGAAACTACAGTATAAGAACAAAATCAATATTCAGTTCAAAAAATGTACCTGAAAACATGCAGAAAGTCATATTAAAAGACAGCATCAAAATATATGTGAAGTTGAGAGCCCATGCCCATGCAAAACATTTGATTGAGAACTATAAGTCAACATCAAGGAAACAGAAAAAAGAAAAGGCTTTGAGAAAAAAGTTAAAATCTGTTTCAAAGGACAAAAAGTTGTAATTTGTTAAGTTGTTTTGGAGATGATAAGATCCTTTTTAGAATTATTTTACAGGATAAGATCATTTCCCAAAAATAGAATTTGTAACTTTTTTGCTTCAAATTTCTTGTTCTCTGTTCACCAGCATACCCTGAAATAGCCTCAACCACAACCATAGCCTCATGCCAAAAAACATGCTTTGCCCCAAATGTTCTAATGTTTAATTTTTTTATTTTCTTACAAATATGCTTCAATAGAGCTCAGGACAAGTTCCCTATGATGTATTGTTGTACTGATGTACCCAAATATCCACCCATATCCCCAAACTAGCATTCTAGGCCCAGACTATAAATGGATAACAATTAGATGTATTTGTGCTAAACTGAACTTATTGAACTAACTGAACAATTGTTTTCCTCTCAATCACATGACAGAAGATTTTAAAAAAATTATTTTTGCTGATTTTTTAACATGACTGAGAATAGAACAATTTTTATTTAAAAACAATCCTTAAATTCCTTACAGGCTTGAAATAAACAAAATGATCAAAATAGAGGCAAGGGGACAACAAAATTCAACGCAACAACTTGAGGTCACCTGAATAAGGGTTCTAATAAGGGTACAATACTTTTAATCAGAGCAGTGGAGTTAAATGGGCACTTTTGATTAAAAAAGCTACTTTTGTTGGACCTTCCAGTGGAAAAATAGGGGGAGAAGTTGAAATAAGCTACACATATTCTACTAAAATCCCCAATTTATTCTAAGCCCAGAAAAAGTGATTACTTCACTCAAATAAATAAATATAGTGTCTATAGTATATCCACTGCTTTCACTGTTAATAATGCTGTAATATATGCGTGTTACATGGTCTTTTCTGCATGTTCTAGGTTAAGATTGCATGTGCACTACTTCATTCTTTAATGGAGTAACAACAGACAATTTTGATTAAAGATAGGCAAAATGTTAAAGCTTTAAAATGCTACATTTGGATATGCTAGCCCAATGGCAATAATGTCCTTTAAGCCTATTCCCATGTATAACCTAGACCTAAAGGGGTTCAGCATTCAGCTGGCAAAGTACTGGAAAATCCAGAATGGCCAATTGCCCTGTTGATGAACTCAAATTTGACATGTTGCCCAAAAACGTTTTATAAAACATTTATGCTTTTGATTCATTAAAACTTTTCTCAGTAAGAAAATCTTTAAAAATGCTCTCAACACAGTTATAAATGGGGCTAAAACCAAAAGTTAATGTGTCCTTCATCAAATAACTATGAACAATCAAGGGCATACTTGGAGAAAATCTTCAATCAATTATAAAAACTACAGAAACTTAGAACAAAAACTATAACAGAGGTCCAAACAAAGGTAACTCTCTGCAACCTAAGTGATGTGTCTGTATCCTAATAACTTTATTTCTTTCTTCTTTTTAATGGACTTTTAGTTATTGTTATTCCCTCTTTTGGGCGCTTTGAACCCTTAGTGTTTCCTTTAGGGGTTATACTTGTGGCAATAGATCTTTGCACCCTCAACTTGTTCTCCTGATGACCCAGTGCATGGATAGTAGGATTGCAAGACCGTCTTCCTAAACCTCTATGTTGTCCAAAATGGTCTTCAAGGGGATCCTGGCTAAGTTTGTTCGTAAGGACATACTTGAAGCCATTTTGGAGCAGATACTGGACACATTCAATCAACGCATGAGCTGTGGTTTGCAAACCTTCATAGGTTGCTTTGGTTAGGAACATCTTTTCTCTGTCTGCTGACTTGAAATTCCCTTTGCGGTTTTCTATGACATCCTTCCAATCAGCCATATATTTTAGGAATTCCTCTTTCATGAATTTGAACCGTTCATCGTCGACACTTGTATATGGCTTCAAAAAGGGCTTTCGTTTCTGTACACCTTCATTTAATGACCGCGTATTGCAGCAATCAAAGAATTTATCTACAAGTAATATCAGCTTGGCAGTTTCTTTTGCCTTTGGTGTAGCATAAGCCAACATCACCTTACCTACTGTCTCGCTCATGACTTGCGCTGCTAAGTTGACAGGCATTCTTGAATAAGGTGTCAAATATACATGCTCGTTCTTGATTTTGGGTAGCTTCCTGACCTCACTCAATCGATCTGCCTCATACAATGAGATCAAATGGTCCCATGTCATCTCATCATTGTTCCAAAGAAGCCTTTTTTTCCCGTGTCCTGAATTTGCAAGATTATTGTGTATTGTTTTGATTAGGTGTGGTGGGTCAGAAAATAAGAAAATAGGACGGTTTTGTTCCTTTGAAAAAACATTTACTGCCTTGTAAATAATGCTACCTTGAGTGCTCATCATTCTGTAAAGCTTCTGGTTACTGCTTGCTTTATCAGACACAATGGCAATCACTTTCAGCCCTGCATATCCCTCGCATAAGCCTATAGCTCTCCATGTTAAAGGGAACAGCATTCCTGAATTTGCAGTAGTAGTGGCAAAGTAGCCAAGTGAAAATTTGAGCCTGGTTGCAATACCACAAACCATAAACACAAGGGCATGTGTCGCAATTGTACTTGATGCATCCTTCTTGAAGACTTCATTTACCTCATCAGCAAGATTAACAAATCCAACCAGTTTATTGGTACTGTTGTTGTATACAAGATCATCTTGTACAGATAGCTCATCTAGCATCAACACAACATACTTTCCGATTCCTTCAAGTTTAGCAGCCTGATGTTTCAAATCTGTATAAACCTCTCTATTGAAACCTGCTCTGGGATGAAAAAGGCTAGAATAATCCCTCAATGTTCTTTCTGATGGGAGCTTGATGACAGAGCTTTCTTTCAAGGCTTTGTATGCTGCTGGGGATCGCAGATGTAGATGTAAAGCAAACCTTATCATCATTGGGTGCCATCTCTGCCCCTGGTTGGAATGCTCAAAAGCCTTTTTCTGCTCCTTCCAAAACAAATTTTGAAAAGAATTATCAGGGAATTCTTTCACGCCACTTTCAAGGATTTGTCTGAAATCCTTATGCACTTCAGTTTCCAGATCTATTCCTTTTGATGCAATTTCTGCTTCAAGCACTTTTATTTTCTCTTCCAGTTTTTTCTCTTTATCCCTTAGTGTGCGAATCGCTAAAACTAGTCGATTTTTTGCAACTTTTGTAAATGGGGCTTTTGTAGCAAGAGGTTTAAATCTCTGTTTGTCTTCAACCTTTTGTTTTCTTGCGAGGTCTTTAGCAGCAAGAGTACATGGCCTACAAGGGCTTGTTTCACAAAGAACAGAACAGTTGCTGCTATGCAAATTATGTACATGTTCTATGCCTTTTTTGCCATTAACCAAAGCCACTTTTGATGTCTTTCCAGAGGAAGAAAGCTTTAGCCCATAGACCTTTTCAGCTGAGTCTTCAATGCCCTGGCATGGCTTCCATTATGAAATTCTTTCTAAAATTACATTAATTTTCTTTTTCGAAATTGTTCGCTTAAACTCTTTGTAAATTGGATGTTCCTCGGGTATTTCCTTGAAACTACCCTCCACAACAAAACCAAGGGACTCATCCACAGTAAGCTTGATCACAACATCTCCCAGTGTATTGATACAGCCAAAAACCAAATTGTTTTCAGTGTGGGAAAGTTTTACCCAAGGAGCATTTACCTTTGACAGATCTTTCTCCAGCTCTTTAAAATCTATATACTTGTATAACACAGGTAAAACAATTTCACTGTTGCGCACCAGCTGACGTCTTTCAGTTGCCACTTCTCTCTCGTGACTCCTCTTCGCAATAAAAATAGTTGGTATGCTACCCACAATAAGGTCTTTCCTTCCTGTCTTGCCTGAAATACAATATTTAATAAATAAATGTCTCATGTTGATAAAAAGGTCATATTGTTACTACTATATCAGAATCGAGAATAAATTGCCTTTAGAAAGAACTGTAGAATTACAGACATCGATGTCTCAATAAAATTAGATACTTCTTGAAAAGCAG